TTACCACATGACCCAACAATTCCACTTGTCGGTATAGTATATATGCAAAAGAGCTGAAAGCAGGGGTACAAGTAACGGACATTTCCACACTATTCACGATAGTCCAAAGTCTCCATCAGCAGACGACTGAATGGATAAGCAAAATACGGACTCTATAAAACTGGAATACGATTCAGCCTAAAGAGAAAGGAAGTTCTAATACTTGGTACAATGTGGGTGAACTTGAAAACATTATTGTGAGTGCAGTAAATCAGATACATAAAAACAAATATTGTACCATCCTTGATCCCATTTTTATGAAATACCAAGAACGGGCCACAGCATAGAGACAAACGATTGTCAGTAGTTCCCAGAGGTGAGTGGAAGGGGAAATTAGGGAGGTATTGTTTATGAGGGTACTGAATTTCTGTTTGGGGTGATGGCTGTACAACATGGTGACATAGTTAGTGTCGCTGAAGTGGACATGTGACAGTGGCTGAAGTAACAAATGTTTTATTGCACAAATGAACCCTGTGGGCGCTGAAACTCCACAGGTCTCACAAGCTTTCTACCTTTGACCACTTTTCTACTGCTCATTTAGCAGAAAATATGTGAGTTTTCCTACTCGACAGATTGCTTCAAGTTCCAGGTTGTTGTGTTTTTTTTTTTCCCCAAGTTCCAGGTTTTGCAGGTTTTACTGAACCAGAGGGCTTCAAAACCTTTGTGGGAAAATTCCATTATCTTTTTATTCCGTTTTCCACAAACATTTTGCTCTTGAGTATTTCATGATGAATTTCTTTCTTTCTTCCCACCATCTACCCCTGGTGTATGGAGTCCTGAGGTGGTACTGTTGGTTAATGCGCTGGAATGCAAAGTCTGTTTGACTTTGCATTCCAGTTCAAACTTACCAAATGCTCCTCAGAAACCATATAGAGTCACTATGGGTCGGAACCAACTCGATGACACTTAACAACAACACCCCTGGTGTGGTGCTATGGGTTAATGAGCAGGATTGCAAAGTCGGTTTGGACTACAAGGTCAGGAATTCAAACTCACAAGCTGCTCCTTGGAAACCCTATACAGGGTCTCTATGGGTCAGAACTGACTCGATAACACTTAACAACAACAACCCATGCTTGGAGTTCTGGTGTAACATTGTAGCATAAATACTGGACTGCAAGATCGACTTGAACCAAAAGGTGGTGGTTCAAACCCATCAACCACTCTTTGGGAACCCTATACAGGATTGCTCTAAGTCAGAACCAACTCAACAGCACTTAACAACAACACTCTGTTACCTTCCAACCCTCATCTTCATATCCATGGCCTGGCTGTGTCTAGTGCCTTAGCCCCAGCTTCTTCCTGCCTTAGAACCTTGTCAAGAGAGGGTCAGCGAAAAAGAGGAAGACCCCCAGTGAGATGGATTGGCACAGTGGCAGCAGAGATAGGCTCGAATGTAACAAAGACTGTGAGGATGGCTCGGGACCAGGCAGTGTTTCATTCTGTTGTGCACAGGGCTGCTATGAGTCTGAACTAACTCGATGGCATCTAAGAACAACAACGACAATTCTTGTTGAAGTCCCCAGAGGGATCTATCAAAAGAAGACATCATCTTATTCCTGCAGCCATTAACAAACATCTCTCTGTGTCACACTATATGCTAAGTGCTGGTGTCATGCGATAGGACAAGCAGTGAACTGCTAAAGCTGTAAGACTGGTGTTTCAAACCACCAGCTTGCTCCTTGGAAACCCTGTACAAGCTCCCTATGAGTCAGAACCAACTCCACAGCACGACACTTAACAACAACAATACCCTAAGTAGGGGCTCTGATGGTTTGGTGGTAGGTTTCCCCACTTCCATGCGGGAGACTTGGGTTTGATTCCCAACCATTGCACTACTGCTAGTCTGACACTGAAGTTCAAGAGCAAAGACCTCAGTTTGAGGACTAAGGTCTTTATGCCTGACCCAGGCATAGTATATTTAATCACCTCATATGTATTTGAAAAATGGACAATAAATAAGGAAGACTGGAAAATAATCAATGCATTTGAAGTATGGTGCTGGTGAAGAATATTGAACATGTCATGGACTACCAGAAGAATTAACAAATCTGTTTTATAAGAAGTACAGACAAAATGCTCCTTAGAAGCCAGGTGGTGGACACATTATCAGGAGAGACCAATCTCTGGAGAAGGACATCATGCTTGGAAAAGGACATCATGAGGATGGCACAGGACCAGGCAGTGTTTTGTTCTGTTATGCACCGGATTGTGATGAGTTGGAACTGATTAACAACAACAACATGATGCTGAACAGGTTTCAGCGGAGTATCTATGGACCAGGAAGAGAGGTCCGGCAACCTACTTCTGGAAATCAGCCAATGAAAATCCTATGAATAATCCAAAGCCATGTTTTATATTGAGGCCAATGTAAAGTGATAGTATTTTGCATATATTGGTTAAATAAAATAGTACTGAAATAAAATAAACAAAAACCTATAGATAACAATGATTGGATCTAAACCTGGTCATGGAAATGGCACAGGACCAGGCAGTGTTTTGATTCCATTTTGCATGGAGTCTCTATGAGTAGGGACCCAAGTGGAAGGCAGTTAATACAACATTTGCTAAATCACAAGTTTATAGTCCTGCCCTCCCCCTTAAGGAGACCATGAAGGAAATCTGTTATTGTTATTAGGTGCCATCAAGTTGAATTTTACTCATGGTGACTCCATATGACAGAATGGAATTGCCTCATGGGGTTTTCTTGGCTCTAATCTTTATGGAAGAAGATTATCAGTTTTTTCTCTCACAGAGCCACTGCAAACCTTTCAGTTAGCAGCTGAGCACTGAACTGTTGCTCCACCAGGTCTCAAAACCACCCTATGATTGTTGTTAGGTGCCATTGAATTGGTTCTGACTAACGGTGGTGACCCTATATACATAACAACAAAACACTGCCCAGTCTCGCACCATCCTCATAATTGTTGCTACGTTGTTGTTGGTGTTAAGTGCCATCGAGTCAGTTCCGACCCATAGCGACCCTGAACAGGGTTTCCGAGGCTGTAAATCTTTACAGGAGCAGAACGCTTCATCTTTCTCCCGCAGAGCAGCTGGTGGTTTCGAACTGCGGACCTTGCGGTTCGCAGCCCAATTCGTAACCACTATGCTACCAGATCTCCTTAATTGTTGCTATGGTTGAGTCCATTGTTGTAGCCACTGTGTCAATGCATCTCACTGAGGGTCTTCCTCCTTTTTGTTAACTCTCTACTCTACCATGCACAATGTCTCTCTCCAGGGCCTGCTCCCTCCTGTTGACTTGTTCAAAGTATGTGAGTTTCACCTTTCTTGCTTCTAAGAAGCATTCTGGCTGTACTTCTTCCAACATAGATTTATTAATTCTTCCGGCTGTGCTTGTTGCTAAGTGCTAGTGATTCAATCTGGACTCATAGTGACCCTTTACATGGTTTCCCAGGAGCAGCTGATGGGTTTGAATTGCCAACTTTGTGGTTCACAGTCCAGTGCTGATCCTACAGTGCCATACTAGGAGTCCTCTGGCAGTGCATGGTATATTAAATGTTCTTTGCCAACACCGTAAATCAAAAGCATCAATTCTTCTCTGGTCTTCCTTATTCATTGTCCAGCTTTCACATGTATATTCCATAGCAGCACCAGGATTCCTTGTGTGGACTAGACTGCAAGAATTTGTGGGGAAAAGAGAATCTTGGGATGATGATTAGAACTGTACTTTCCAATTCCATTGCCCAGTGTTAATTGACTCTTGAAAATTTGAAATGTGAGTGGTCTGAATGGACATGTAACATACACACCAGGGGAATACTGAGAAGACAGATCGGATAAAATTTAAGAAACAGGTAAACTACTGGGGTATTGAGGTCCCTCCCGGGGGGAACCATAGTAGTCCCTGAGACAGGGGACAAGTCTTTACCCAATGCAGCCGGTCGGTGTAAGAAACACCTACTGTACAAATAGGTAAACCAAGGGAGATGTTATGGGGTGTCACTTGACCAGGTTCCTTGTATTGCGAAGCAGAGCAGGGACGGGGACCAGGACCAGGGACCAGGGACCATGACTGTCCCGGTGCCAGCGTCTCGGAGGGACACGCTGTGCTCCACAATGGCGGATGGAATACGTAGCTAGGCCAAGGAACGCCGATGGTCACTCATTGGTCACGAAAGGCCCTCAGTGACAGCGAGACCCCGTGGACCCGGGTACAAGCACGAACCCCTTTTTATAGAAGGGAAATGAGGCTCCGAGGGGATAACCCCTGAGTTGGGCCCACCCAGGCCTTTCTCTCGACAGGGGCAAGACGCGTTTCCAAGCCCTGGGCCCAGCTCTGGGCATACAGTAGGCGCTCAAGGTTCTCCAGGTCGCCATCGTCATTAAGGGAAAGAATCCAAAAGGGTCTGCCTGCGGCTCAGCTGCTCTGCGCAATCTCAGGGGACGCAGAGTCAGATCCTGGGGAAGCGAGGGGGCGCAAAGAGGGAGGGAGGAGGAAGGGTCACGGACTCAGGAAAGGGGATGGGAGGGGGACAAGGACCAGGTTAGGGGTGCAGGTTCCGGGACTGGAGAGCAAAGAAGTGTGGAGGGAGGGGAGTGGAGGGAAGGGAACCGGGAAGGTGACGGTGTGCAGACGCAGAGAGGGGAAGACGGGGTCGTGGACTCGGGAAGAGACGGGGAGCAGACTGCTGGAGGGGAAGAGAAAGGGGGGAAGGGGTAGAGAAAGTGTGCGCAGATGAGGGGAGGGGAGGAGGGAGTCACAGACTTCAAGATGGGAGGGATGGGAGGAAATGGGGACCTGAGCTTGAGGAGGGAGGGGGGGCGCAGAAAAAGGGAGGGGCGCGGCGGCGGCGGCGCGGGGAGGGGGGGGGGGGGGGGGAGGTGGGCCGGGGGTCGGGCAGCGGAGACGGCGCGCAGCGACATCGCGTCCCTAGGCAAAGGGGAGCTAGCCACGGTGGCCGCACCTCGGTGCACAGCCCGCGCCACCGGCGCTTGACACCATGGCCCCGGACGCCGTGCCGCGCCTCCGCCGCCTCCTGTGGCTCTCCTGCTTCTTGCCTCTCGCCTCCGACCCGGTGGCCGCAGGTAAGGCACCGGCCCTCAGCCCCGGCTTGCTCCAAGGCCGTTTCCAGAGCAAGGAGTGAGCTGTGTGGGCGAGGAGGGGTAGTGCGGGCGTCAAACGCTCCATTTGCACCCCGGGTGGCCACTGCGGCGTGCGGTGGAGGGGCGCTCTGGGGCCAGCGAGGCCCTCTCCCGTCTCCTCTTTTCCATATCCCTCTCCCCTGAAGTCACCCTGACGTCTGAGAGGCTCCCCTCGGTTCCTGCTAACACCCCAGGTCGGCCTTGCGCAGGGAGCGGCGCGATGAAACCAGAGGGATCCTCCAGGCCCTGGGAACAGTTCAGCCCTGGAGATGGGAAGGCGGATGCCCTGGTATCCAGGAATTACGCCACACCATCCGGGGCTCGGACAGGTTGCCAAAAGAAGCTGCGTTTTACCATGACATGTCTCATTATTCTGGAGAGATTTTCCTTCCTGTATCTGTTGGCTTTGGGGAGGATGAGAGTTTCGAACCCAGGGACTGGTCTGCCTCATCCTCTCAGGTGGTTTCCAGCACCCCCACAACCGACCTCCCTTTCCAACACACTCTGGGAGCTGTAGAAGGACCCAGAGTGAAGAGTTGTCAAGATGTGGGAGGAAGGACAGGTGAGGGGAGGGATCGGTGACATGAGTATTAACAAGCATTTGCCATGCCCCCTGGTCCTTCAATAAAAGACTAGCAGTGGAATGAAGAAAGCGAATGCAGATTTGCAAAAAGAAAAACCAAAGGCAAAATGCAAAATCTGCATCTACAGAAGAGAACATGATAGTAATTGTGCTAGGTCAGAAACACCTCCTTTACTTTGAAACTTCACAATGGAAATTGGGTCTCTGGATGGCACCCACAACCCACGGCCAAGTGGAATCAATTCCAATTCATAGAAATCCTTTTAGACAGAATAGAACTGCTCCCCAGGGTTTCCAAGGCTATAAATTTTGGGGTAGCAGACAGCTTCATCTTTCTCCCAAGAAGTAGCTGGTGGGCTCGAATTGCCAACCTTGTTGTTAGCAGCCCAATGCTGAATCTACTGTGCCACGAGGGCCCCATCTATTAGGTACATGTTCACAGAAATTATTAATATGTCTTAACTGACTATATATATATATATATATATATATATATATATATATATATATATATATATATATATATATGCAAATTTTGGAACTCATATGTAGTTCCCAGTCTGAGCCATGAGGCTGTGACACCCATAGTCAGAATTCTAGGAGCTGGGAACAGGCTTGGAGAACCTACCGCCCTCACTCACAGGAGAAAACAGAGGTTTGGATCACTTGCCTGCTTTGCACTCTAGGGGTTTATGCATCTTAAGTCCACATACTAGATGGTGGATTCCACATTGTGTAAACAAGACTTCAGAGGTAGCTTTGGGAAGTGTTTAGGGAAGCTTCATGTGAAAGGGCTGGTGAAGTCATTTTCCAGAATGTTCTAGGCCCCACATGCTGTCGTGGCATAGAAAATGGTCCAAGCAGAAACCATGGGACTCCCATGGCTCAAGCCAGGTAGACTGTTGCCCCTTGGGATTTTGGCTCAAGCCCTTCAGCTCAAGGTCATTTGGGGCTCCTGTGAAGACTGGGCTGTGGGTGTAGCCTCTGATCTCTGCCAAGGTTCTTCTAGGCCATCATGCCACCTGGGCCTGGGCCTGGCTTTCAGATCTGGAAAGATGTATGTGGACCGGTAGGGCAGTGGGACCTGAGCTTGTCTACTTCTTCTACATTGGGATGCCCTGGACCAGTCTAAGAACCCCAAAAAGTGGCAGCATCTCTAGGGGTTGTCTGAGCACCTGCATGTAACCTTGGGGCCTTCTTATGATGTGGGGAGCTGAGGGAGGGGCCCATGATCAACCTTTCCCAAACTCTCCCCACCTCATCCCAGTCTTCCAGCCTCCCAGCCTTGGCTTGTTGCGGTCTGATACCATCCCCCTGGCAATGGGCATGCGCGATGCTGACATGTACCCATCTCTCACTGCAGAGGCTGGATGGCCACTAGGATGCAGCTGAATGTCCCTGCCACCTGTCAGTCTCTTTCTGGCCCACACTTTGTGCAGTAGGAGGGAGCATGCTTCCCCAACTAGCAGACCAACTAGTCCAACATCTCTGCTCAGCCTGACCCACTGCTGCCTCCAGCCAAAAGAAGCAGAGTGAAGCTGAGCACCAGTTAGGTGCTGCAGACTTGCCATGCAACTTCAGACTAAGCCCCTGGGGCCCTCAGGTCCCTCAAGATTAAATAAACCAGTTGCCATAGAGTCGATTTCAACTTATGATAGTACAACCCCATTCATCTTTCCACAGAATAGAACATGCCCCATAGTGTTTTCAATAGCTGAGTTTTCAGCAATAGATTGGCAAGTCTTCTTTCTGAGTCTTGCCTTTGGATAGACTCAAGCCTCCAACCTTTCTGTTAACAGCCAAGCATGCTAACTGTACAACCCAGGACCTCTCCCATGTTAAATACACACTGCACTTGCTTAGAGAAGCTTTGGCAACAGCATCTAGTATCCATTAGTATCTATTTGGGGTTAAGACCCTGCAGTTCCCTCTTTTTAACACAAGCATTTCCTCGGAAGTAGCCAGCCCTCAGTATCTTGTCTTACGCAGTAGTTTTCTAATTTCAGAAACAGCTTGGAGACCAAAGGAGGTTAGCAGTGACATGAAGCTTTAGAAGCGAGCAGCAATGGGGAGTCTTTACTGAAAGGTGACTGAGTTTGTTTGGGGAGATGACAATGTTTTAGAAACAGGTAGTGCTGGTGTGGCGCTGTGGGATAAAAACTGGACTGCTAACCACAGGTTGACAGTTCAAACCATATGCAAACCCCCATATACAGGGTCACTAACAGTCCTGGTATGGCACTGTGGGGCTAATGCAACAGACTGCAAAGACGTTTGAACTGCAAGGTTGGCGGTTCAAGCTTACCAGCTGCTCCTTAGAAACCCTATATAGGGTCACTATATGTTGGAACTGACTCAACAGCACTTAAGAACAATGAGTCAGAACTCATTCGACAGCTCCTAACAACAACATGAGTCTGAATCAACTAGATGGCAGTGAGATTAATTTAGATAATTACACAAAGGTTAAGCACTCAATTGCACACCAAAAGGTCAGTGGTTCAAGCCCACCAGCCGCACTGAAAGAGAAAGTTGTGGCAGACAGCTTCTATTAAAGATATACAGCCTTGGAAACCTTATTCGACAGTTCTACTCTGTCTTACTAAGGGGCTCTGGTAGCGTAGTGGTTACGAATCGGGCTGCTAACCTCAAGGTCAGTAGTTTGAAATGTTCCAGGGAAGAAAGATGAGGCTTTCTGCTCCTGTAAAAATTGACAACCTCCGAAACTCTATACAGGGTCGCTATGAGTTGGAACCGACTCCACGGCACACAACCACCAGCACCATCTCACTCTGTCCTACAGGGTCACTGTGAGTCGGAGTCAACTACATGGCAGTGGGCTTATTTATTTATTGGTTTAATAAGAAGCTCTGGTGATGCAGTGATTAAGCACTTGGCTGCTAACCAGACGGTTGACGGTTTGAACCCACCAGCTGCTCCGTGGGAAACAGATGTGGTGGTCTGCTTCCATGAAGAGTTCACCCTTGGAAACGCTACTCCACAGGGGTGCTTTGAGTTGAAGTCAACTTGGTGGCAGTGGATTTGGGAAGGTTGTACCACGTGGTGGATGTCATCAACGTACTGAACTGTATCCTTAACAGTGGTTCAAATGCCGAGCTTGTTTGAAAGGAAGAAAGAAAGCCATAGCTGTAAAGACAAGGGACTCAGAACAGGGACTATGTGAGGGTGGCCAGAGGACAGATAAGTCTCAGTGGAGGCAGGCAGTACTGCTGCAAGGCAAATGGGGTGCAGTTGAGGACAAACTTACTCCCCTCCCAGTTTTGCTGAGCAACAGGGCTCTCCCAGAGGCAGGAAGCATGCCCTGCCCTCTGGGTCCCAGCATTTGTAGGGTGGGGCTCATGGAACGAACTCAGGTAGTATCAGCCCAGTGAATAGTCCAGGGTCAGTCCCCAGGTATGCCGGCCCCTCTGCCATCTCTCCAGGGGATCTTCAACAGCAGTATTAAATACCAACTGACCTATGAACTGGAGGAATGGAGCTGACCTCTGCCCTTCAAGAGCATGCAGTACAGGGGCTCGGGGAGACAGAGAACTGTCATTCCTACCTGTAGTTACGTTGGAAGAGTCCAGAGGTGAGGGAAGGGACAGAGGCTATATCCATAGACAAATTGGTGGTGAAGGAGCTAAGGCCTTCCAGCAGTTGGAACAACATGTGCAAAGGCCCAGGGACAGTGAGGGACAGGGTGTGGGGAACCTCGAGAGTAGAAGTATATGGGCTAAGAGGTGAGTGTGTGGACTCGACTTGGTGGTCCAGGATCATACTTCCTGAGCAGGAAGCTCTTTAATAGGCAGCTGAAAGTGGGACCTGGGGGCCAAGGGTAAGGCTGTTGCAGTAACCCGACAGGCATGGATGTGGCCATCAGCAATGGAAGTGGCGATGGACAGGACAGGGCTGTCCCCAGATGGAAGGAGTTGGAGGGACAAGGTCTGGGGGTAGATTTCTGGGGAGCTGGAGCCTGTACCCTGATGTTGTGAAGGGTGAGAATGGTGGGTTGGGGGGAGAAGAGAAATCCAGTGGGTCTAGACCACAGATTTCCAAGAAGAGGAGCATTGGTGGCTGCTAACTGAAAAGTCATGATTTGAACCCACCAGCCGGTCTGTGGGAGAAAGTTGTAGCAGGCTACTTCCGTAAAGGTTACAGCCTTGGAAAACCTGTTGGACAGGTGTACTCTGTCCTAAAGCTATGTCTTGGAATTGACTTAATAACAGTGAGCCGATGGGTTATTTATTTAAAAAAATGTTTATTGTGAATTATGTGATAGTTTACATGGGAGAACATTAGCTTTACATTCATCCTGTTGTATATTATAACATTGCCATGGTTACAGTCCCCTCCATGCATCATCAACCCCCCAGTCTTCAGCACACAGCCCTTCTCCCTCTCTGGGTCTAGAGTCCCCAGTCATTGCATCTCTCCACGTCATCATCTCTGCCTCCATCTCTGGCGTCACTGTTTCTCTGGGTAGGGTCCCGCTCTTTGCTCTTCCCCCTTGATGGTTCCAGGGACCTCCACTCCTGGACTGCAAAGTCAGTCACTCCCTTCCTTTTGCTACAAAACATCCACGGATTGGTTAATCTTTAGGGAAGCAGACTGCCACATCTTTCTTCTATGGTGGGTTTGAACTGCAAACCTTTTGGTTTGTAGCTGAGTGCTTTAACCACTGGTCCACCAGAGTGCCTCTAGAGTAGCCACTAACCACATATGACTGTTGTTAATTGCTGTCAAGTAGATTCTGATTTCCAGTGACCCCCATGTGTGTCGGAGAAGAACTGGGCTCCAGTTTTCAAAACTGTGATCTTTAGGAAGCAGATCACCAGCCCTGTCTCCACGGTGCCTCTGGGTGGGTTTGAACCAGTGACTATTGTTGTTGTTTGTTGTTGTTAAGTGCCATCGAGTCGGGTCCGACCCATAGCGACCCTGTACAGGGTTTCCGAGGGTGTAAATCTTTACGGGAGTAGAAAGCCTCATCTTTCTCCCGCGGAGCGGCTGGTAGTTTCGAACCGCTGACCTTAAGGTTCACAGCCCGATTCGTAACCACTACGCTACCAGAGTGACTATTAGCCACTGATAATGTGGCCAGTGCAATTCAGAAGCAGAAGTTTTACCTTTCAGTTAAAAGTAATGAAGTAAAATTACTAACTTAAATTTAATGACACGTGGTAAGTAGCTACTGTGGGGCTTGAACCCAGGGAGTAGGTCTGTGTTCCTGGGCACCAGCAGCATGTAGGAAACTGAGTCTCAATATAGGAGCCCCTACAGGATGCTGGTAGCATAGTGGTTACGAATTGGGCTGTGAACCTTAAGGCCAGCAGTTTGAAACTACCAGCCGCTCTGTGGGAGAAAGATGAGGCATTCTGCTCCTGTAAAGATTTACAGTCTCAGAAACCCTGTACAGGGTCGCTATGGGTCAGAACCGACTCGAAGGCACTTAACAACAACAACAACAACAGGGTGCATACAGTTAATGCGCTCAGTTACTAACTGAAAAGATGGAGTCCATCCAGAGGTACCTTGGAAGTAAGGTCTGGCAATCTAATTCCAAAACATCAGTCATTGAAAATCCAATGGAGCAAAGTTATACTCTGACACACATAGGTCACCCTGGACCTGGGTTATCTTGACATCATCTGTTTTTTCTGGTAAAGAGCTTGTGTTGTGGAGTCAGTTGGGCCCAGATTTGAATCCTGGCTCCACCATATGGGACCCCAAGCAAGTCACTGAAGGGACCTCAGTTTTTCCTCCCATAAAACGGAATCCTGGAAGTGAGCCCAGAGGATGGCAGGGGATTCCTTGCCACTCTCTGCCCTGAAACTCAGCCTCTGTTTCTGACCTCCTAGGCCTGTATGAACTCCGTCTCACCACCGATGGCCCTGCTACCACGGGGGCAGAGGTGACCATCTCGGCCAGCTTCGTGGCCAGGGACAATGGTAGCCTGGCCCTGCCTGCTGATGCCCACCTCTACCGCTTTCACTGGATCCACGCTCCGCTGGTGCTCACGGGCAAGACGGAAAAGGCTCTCAGCTCCACCATCCGTGTGGTTGGCAACATGCCCGGTGACTTGCCGGTTTCTGTCTGGGTAACTTCAGCTAATTGCTGGATGTGCCATCCTGTAGCAAGGGGCTTCACTGTCCTCCCTATCACAGGTGAGGACCCTTCTTGTGTGCACGTTTCCCTTCCCTCTCCCAGTGCACAGGAAAACTTTCATCACAAAAGTGCACAGCAGACCCGGGAACGCCTTCTCTGTTGTCAGTTGAGTTCACAAAGGATCGGAAAATGGTAATACACGGCGTTGGCAGAGTTGTCCTGAAACAAACTAGTTAAGCACTTAAGGCTTATAATGACCACTTCTGAGGTTATAATGAACACAGCCCTTTGGAGAACTGTTGGTCACTATAAGTCAGTGGTTATACGTATTTTCTGAGTCTTGGTCTAATCATTCATTCATTCTCATTCCAAGAGATTCCTGCCCTCTTAGAGATTATAGTCTAATAAAAGAATGTCTCTCCAGGGAATAAAGCCCAATTGGGTAATGCGTTACGCACCAACATGCTCATTGTAGTGGTGTTCATAATAGCAAAAGAAAATATAAATCATTTCATTATCCAACTGTAAGGGAATTTGTTAAGTATAACTATTGTCTTAGGCTGAGTTCTCTAGAGAAGCAAAACCAGTGAGACTTACAAATGTATATATCAAGGAAATGGCTCCCACAGTTGTAGAAGTGGGAGAGTCCCAAGTCCACGTCAGATGAGCCGAGATCATCGGCAGGTCAGATGGCAGGCAGGTCACTGACTCAAAGGACTGAATCAGCAGAGAGCAAGCAAGCCTTGTCTAAGTGTCTAATATATTGGAAATAGGCTACACCCATGAGAAAACATCTTTTCAGTTGATTGGCTGCTCATAGCAGACCTCATCATAGATTGAATTAAGTTACATTAGATTTCATTATGAGGATAACCACACATCAGCTTCCAAACTACTGAGAATCCTGGCCAGTCAAGTTAATACAAAACCTTAATTATCACAACTATGAATGCGGTGGTGGTGGTTATGTGCCATTGAGTCAGTTCCAACTCATAGAGACCCTGTATAGGATTTCTGAGGCTATAAATCTTTACAAGAGCAGAAAACCTCATCTTTCTCCTTTGGAGCATCTGGTGCATTTGTACAGCTGAGCTTGTGGTTAGCAATCCAGTTCACAATCTACTATGCTACCAGGGCTCCTTAGAGAGAATTTGTAGTGCCCTAGACATGTACTCAAGGAGCTCTGGTAGTATAATGTTTACAAGTCAAGCTGCTAACCTCAATCAAGGTCAGCAGTTCAGAACCACCAGCCGTTCTGCAGAAGAAAGATGAGGCTTTCTAGTCCCGTAAAGATTTACAGCCTCAGAAACCATATGCAAGGTCACTGTGTTGGAACTGATTCCACGGCACACCACCCGCCCCACCAGGCACATACTCATGCCTATAAAACTAAAGCAAATAAATAAAGTGAAGTATAATATTGAATGGCTAGTTTGATGTACTATACTTACATATTGGGAGCCTTGGTGGTACTGTAGGACAAGAACTGGACTGCTTACCACAAGGTTAGCAGTTCAAACCCGCCAGCTGCTCTGAGGGAGCAAGATGAGGCTTTGTGCTCCCGTAAAGATTTACAGCCTCAGAAACCATAGAGGGTCACGTGGAGATAATGGTTTGCACTCAACTATTAACCTGAAGGTTGTCAGTTCGAACACACCCAAGTGTCTCCATGAAAGAAAGGCCTGGTGATGTTTCTGTAAAGAAAACGCAGTTCTACTGTGTAACACATGGGGTTGCCCATGAGTCCGAATCTACTTAATGGGTTTGGTTTTTTAAAAAAAATCAATACACTAACCACACACAAGTATTTTCTGATACTTCAGAATGTCAAACCAAACCAAAGCAAATTCATTGCCATCAAGTCAGGTTTGACCTACAGTGACCCTACATAGAGTTTCCAAGACTGTAAATCTTTACAGGAGCAGAAAGCCTCATCGGTCTTCCTAGGGACGGCTGGTGGGTTTGAACTACCAACCTTACAGTTAAGAGCCCAACACCTAACCCTAACCCACACCACCACCAGGGTTCCTTATTTAAGTAACAGGCAGTTTTTTTTTTTTTTTCTTTCTTTCTTTCTTTTTTAAAAAAAACCTCTTTATTGTGAATTGAGTGATAGTTTACATGGGAGAACAACCAGTTTTGCACTCATCCTATCGTATTTCGTTTCATTGTGAAGATTACAATCCCCTCCACAGGCAATTTCTTTTTATTCTGCTCTTTGGTATTTTCCAAGTGTGTTGAGCACACCTTACTCCCACTTTGGTGGTGGAAACATCAGCATTTGGCGTTAGTTTTTGAGAATAAATCCAGGACGGGCTCTTGCCCAGCCCAGCTCATTGTGTATGAAGATGAGAGCGGTAAAACTGCTCATTTGTCTGGGCTCATCTTATACTCATGTTTTGAAACATTTCTCAAAAGTGACTTTCAATGCTTGTTTGTTTCTTTTCTGGTCCTGGGCATCTTCTGTTTGAGAAAGCTTGGGGTCTGGGTGGAAGGGGGCCGGGGACCACACAAAGTTATGCATGTAACATACACAGTGAGTCTTTGTAAATATCTATGCACTAGGAGCAGAGATGTGGCAGACACGTTCAGTGGCTAGAGACGGGGAGGTCCTGCCATTTGGCAGTATTCTTTCACTTGCTGGCTTCCTCACCCCTCCCACTTATTCATTTAAAAAAAAACAAAAACCAACAAAATTTATTGTGAATTGAGTGAATGTTTACAGGGCAGATTATCAGTTTTACGGTTCAACAAATTCTACACTTTGTTTCATTACAATGATTGCAACTTCCTCCCTGTATCTTCTGCTACCTTCATCTTTTCCTCTGTTAGTGTCCCTCTTGTATATTACCTTCCTTGTCACCCATGTTAATATGTGTCTATCCTCTGGTGGTGGTAGTTATGTGCTGTGGAGTCATTCCAGCTCATAGTGACCGTGTATGGGGTTTCTGAGGCTGTAAATCTTTACAGGAGCAGAAAGCCTCATCTTCCTCCTGTGGAACCGCTGGTAGTTTCAAACTACTGACCTTGAGATTAGCAGCCCGACTCATGAATAACCACCACCCCTGCCCCTGTAACCATCCTAGAATGTTTCTTTTATCAAGAAAACGTTTTCTTAACTTTTTACAACAGTGGTTTACAACATTTGCCCTTTTGTGATGGACTAATCTTACTCAGCCTTGTGTCCTCCAAGTTCGTTAGTGTTACAAGGTGTTTTGCAGATTCATCGTTTTCTTCAACATTGTGTAGTATTCCATTGTGTGTGTTCCACTCCTCACTTTTGTGAACTCACCCTCCCTGGCTTCTCCCAGAATTCCTGGTGGGGGACCTCATCATCACCCAGAACAGTTCCTTGCCCTGGCCCAGCTCCTACCTCACCAAGATGTCACTTAAAGTCGCCTTCCTCCTCCATGACCCCAGTGACTTCTTCAAGTCTGCCTCGTTTCTCTACAGCTGGGACTTCGGAGATGGGTACGTCTTTATGTCTCTTAAGGTCCCATGTGTTTATGCCCCATGTGTTGGTGCCAGGCTGGTGGGCTGTCCTTTGCAGGTACTCTATAGTTTCAACTTGGCCTGCTTACTCTTGATTTGAACATTTCTCAAATACCAGCTCTGTAGGCTGAGCGTTCTGGTTTAGCACCGGCCCTGCTTCAAGGCCGCTGCAACCTCACAGAGGAGCCCATGGGTGCCTTTTGGAGAAATTCACACCCTTGAAAGAGAAGAGAACATGCTATGACTTTATGGGTTGTGCCTGGGGCATAGGTAAGAGTCTCCCCATTATACAGATGAGGAAAGTGAGGCTGAGCGTTAGATAGGAAGTCAAAGCAGACATTCCCATCCAAAGGCCACACCCTAGATTGTCTCTGCATCTGCCAGATTCTGGCTGGAGGGGCAGAGCCCATCATAGGCAGATGATGTGACTTGCCCTTACTTGTAACATACAGACACGCTATGGGCAGTGCAGGCTTCTGAGAAGGTTTCCAGGGGCAACCTGTGGGGCAATGCTACCTGGACTTGTAGGTGTGAGCATTGGCAGAGCATCAGTGGCAGGCCCAATAGGATCTGCTTGTCCATGTTAGAGCCGTGTGTCTGCCCTGACTCAGCCCCAAGGCCCTTTCTGGTGCTCCTGACTGACTTTCGTCATCTATGACGTCATCGTCATCTATGTCTGCAGGGTCAGGCCAATTGACCTGGAGCCCTGGCTGGCTTGGAGGTTGCAACAGGCAGAGCAGTGGACAGCCCAGGTTTTGGAGGTCACCTGATGCACTGAGTGGCCAGAAAGAGAAACATGGCTACCATCTTCCTGTGTCCTTTCCATAGGACCCAGATGGTGACTGAAGATCCTGAGGTCTATTACAACTACTCGATTATCGGAACCTGCACCGTGAAGCTCAAGGTGGTGGCTGAGTGGGAGCAGATGAAGCCAGGTGCCGGGAAGGGAGTCATGCAGAAGACGGGTGACTTCTCCACTTTGCTGAAGCTACAGGGTGAGAGTGTGGGTGAGCTGGCCCCTGTGGGGAACCCTGGACACTCCTTCCAGCTGGTCATCGAGTTGGGCACACATATCCTCATGTCCTCTTTTCCAGCTTCAGAACCCCTCTGAGGCAGGCGCTCTAATTGTCCCCACTTTCAGCAGGACCTAGTCCCTAGGTGGTGCAAATGGGCTCACCTGCTTACCCAAAAAGTTGGAGTTTCAAGTATATCCAGAGGCACCTTGAAGAAAGTCCTGGTGATCTACTTCTGAAGTGTCTAGCCACTGAAAACTCCATGACTCAACAGGCCACTGAGGGTTCCAGAGAGGCCACATAGCTACTGAGTGTCTGTCCCATAGCCTGACATTGTCCCTTAGCCACATCGTCCTCCGGACAATGCTCTGATTGATCAGGCCAGGACAACTGTGCCCATGGCTCAGTTTACTGCATAGAGGGGTCCTTAAACTCTGGAGAGAGGGGCCACTGAAGGGCCAACAGCTGCTATCTTGGTTTGTAATGCTGGCCTTACATGGCCCAGGCATCAGATCATGTGGCAGAGAGCAGGTGAATTGGCGGGGTTCTCCATCCAGTCCTTAGGTCTGCTCACCAGAGCCCTGCTGCTATCTTCTCCACATACTCACCCAGCGGGCTCAGACACCTGTGCACAGAGAGGTCAGGACCAGAAGAGACCTGCACAGGCGTGTAACCTTCCCTAGCAGGTCCCCTCTGGACAGGAGAGGGAATAGGGTGGTGGTCACACAGTCATAGACCTCGGAGCCCTGGGACAGCTGTTTTCAAGGACCAGGTTTAATGGGTTCCACTCTGCCTTTCAGAAACCCTTCAAGGCATCCAGGTCTTGGGGCCCACCTTAATTCAGACCTTCCAAAAGATGACCATTACCTTGAACTTCCTGGGGAGGTGAGTGACCCCCCCCAGTGTAGTGTGGGCACCCAGTGAGCCTTGCCCACACACTCCTATTGGCTTCTGAGCCTGCACCGTCCCCTGGTGGGTTTCCAAGTGTGTGGGCTGATGATAGGACAGGCCATCCTGCCCCAGCACTATGCCACACAGAGACAGCGCAGTCGGGTCCTGAAAAAGACTGAAGTTTATGTCCATCTGGCCCTACTTGGACTTGGCCTGTGCTCGTGCTCCTTGCCAAGCTGTTTCTGAAAAACTGCCCCCATCTCCCTACAGCCCCCCGCTGACTGTGTGCTGGCGCCTCAAGCCTGAGTGCCTCCCGTTGGAGGAGGGAGAATGCCACCCAGTGTCAGTGGCCAGCACAACCCACAACTTGACCCACACCTTCAAGAACCCTGGGGATTATTGCTTCAGCATCCGTGCCGAGAATGTCATCAGCAAGACGCATCAGTACCACAGGGTCCAGGTGTGGCCCTCCAGTAAGTGACACCTGCTTTCTGCTCCAGTGCCACACAGACAGCAAAACCAGTCAACTGCTTCTACCACCAATATACCGCCATCCACCCCATCAGCACCATCCACAGCCCAAACTACTGATTCCAGCAACAATCGACACCACCACCTACCCACTGCCAAAACTACCATCTACCTACTCTCCTGTCTACAGCTACTCGACCAAACCAATAGAGCATCAACCAAAACTACTGACTTCAATGCCACCAACAGCTCACTCCACCATCAAAAACCAATTCTACCAACCCCAATACCACTATCAACCAATTCCACCAACCCCAATACCACCATCAGCCAATTCCACCAACCCCAATACCACCATCAACCAATTCCACCAACCCCAATACCACTATCAACCAATTCCACCAACCCCAATACCACCATCAACCAATTCCACCAACCCCAATACCACCACCAACCAATTCCACCAACCCCAATACCACCATCAACCAATTCTACCAACCCCAATACCACCATCAACCCCAGTACTACCACTCATCCACTCTGCCATCAACAACTCTACCAACCAATACCACACCAACCAAGTCTACCAACCCCAACAACCAACTTCGCCATCAGCAGCCAACTCTACCAACCCCAATGCCACCACTAGCCCACTCCACCATCAACAATCAACTCCACTAATACCAATACCACCACCTACCAAGTTTACCAACACCAATACCATTATCAACCAGTTCTATCAACCCCAATACTACCAAGTCACTCTGGCATCAACTCCACCAAATAATACCATGCCATGTCTACCAACTGCAATACCACCATCAACCAACTTTGCCATCAACAACCAACTCTATCAACCCCAGTGCCACCACTAACCCACTCTACCATCAATAACTAACTCCACTAATCCCAATACCACCACCTACCAAGTTTACCAACACCAATACCACTATCAGCTCTGGTAGCATGGTGGTTTTGAATTGGGCTGCTAACCTCAAGGCCAGCAGTTCGAAACTACCAGCTGTTCCATGGGAGGAAGATGAGGCTTTCTGCTCCTGTAAAGATTTACAGCCTTGGAAACTCTGTACAGGGTCGCTAGGAGTTGGAACCGACTCCACGGCACATAACCACCACCACCACCACCACCAATACTGCTATCAACCAATTCTATCAACCCCAATACTGCCACCAACTCACTCTACTATCAACAACTCTACCAACCCAATACCACAACAACCAAATATACCAAAGCTATACCACCAACAACCAAATGCATCATCAACAACCAGCTCTACCAATCCCAACACTACTACCAACCAACTTTATCAACCCAAATACCAGCACTAGCCTACTCTGCCATCAACAACCAACTCTACCAACCCCAATACCACAGTAAACCATCAACCCCAATACCACTATCAACCCACACTGTCATTAGTAACTACAAACCCGAATACCACACCAACCAAGTCTAATATCAACAACCAATTCTACCAACTCCAGTGCCACCATCTCCAAACTCTCATCAACAACCAACTGCATCAGCTTCATACCACCATGAATATCAGCACTACCAACAACAGCAATAACCAACTCAGCTGTCCCCATCCAATTTTACCACCGTTACCACACGCACTGGCAACACCATCATTGATTGTCACTACTGCTAGTTCTACCCTACCCTCACCCCCCTTCATAAACAATGCCAGCAGAACCAGCAGATAAGTCAGTAACCACTGCCAACTGGACTGCCACCACCATCAGCACTGCTGCGAACTCACCTATTACCAGTGCCAACCATCTGTACTAACCCCATCACTGCTGCAGTGCCCCAGTGTCACTCCAACTTCAGTTTTCTCATTGCTACCACCCTTACTGCTGTCAACACTACCTCCCACATATTACCAAAACCACATGCGTCCCCACCATGAATATGCTGACACTCAGTCAGCTGCTATACTTTCAGCCCTCCTTCCTCCACCATCACCATCCAGCATCATCACCTCCATCACAGAGCTGTGGCCACAACCCAAATCCCCATCTCACCATGCCTCCCACAGCAGACATCATCCCAACTCCCCTCAATCACTCCTCAGCACCAAGGCCTTCATAAGTGGGAACAAGGGGAGGGCAGAGGTCCAAGGTTAGGATATTTGATCACTTTCTTGGCTGGGTAACAGGGTCAGTAGCAGTGTTCAACTCACATGCTGTGGTGAGTCTTCTTGGGGGTATGAGCTGCTCAGGAAATACCAAGTGTTGCCAACCACCTTCCCTTGGAATACCAGTTTACCGTTGACTTGTATCCAATTCATCGCATCCCCATGTATGTCAGAGTAGAACTGTGCTTCATAAGGCTTTCAGTGGCTGATTTTTCAGAAGTAGATTATCAGATCTTTCTTTTGAGGTCCCTTTGGGCAGATTCAAGCCTCCAGGTTTCGGATTGGCAGTTGAGTGCATTAACTGTTTGCACCCTTCAGGTCCCCCCTGGAATTTCGTTCTCCAAACCATTATCAGTCTTGGCTACTAATTTACAGACACAGGGTTAGCTGATTCTAGCATTAGGTGTCTCCCCTTCAGATCTGTGGAGAACTCTGGGATCCCCAGAGAACCTTAAGGGGTGATCTTACATGCCCAAGCCAGCTAGTCACATCCTTCATGGTACAAAAGGGGAAACTAAGACCTAGAGAGACAAGAAGAGTTTTGTTGAATCTGAATACCCTGAGCCTGAATCCAAGTTTTCAGACTCTTAGTTTAGTGATCCTCTCTGGGATAGGTGTTTTTCCCCTCACTACCTTTCAGATCATTCCAAACCCTGCCCAAAGGCTGGCCCTATGTTGTTGTTGTTGTTGTTAAGTGCCATCAAGTCATTTCCAAATCATAGCGACCCTATATAGGGTTTCTAAGGAGCAGTTGGTGAACTTGAACTGCCAACCTTGTGGTTCAAACTGATCTTGCAGTCTGGTGCATTAACCCACCACACCACACTGTCATTGTCCGGTCCAGTCTCCCTAGTCCGATGTAGTTCACTCTAGCCCTGGCTGACCCTGTGGACAAAGCAGACTGTGACCTGTGGAGATCATTGGAGGCCTTGTGCCCTGCTTCCTCCGGCAACTCCCCAAGTTCTACAGAGAAGATTCGTGGTTCAGGTAATGTTTTCTTGGAGAACAGGTCCTCCTGGCACATGGTGGTGTCACACCCTCGGAAACCCTATACAGGGTCGCTATGGGTCGGAACCGACTCGATGGCACATAACAACAACAACAACAACATATTAGGAGGAAGGTGAGGGAAGAGTGAGAACAGCCCACACTTATGGATCACCTTCCAGGTTCCAGAAACATTCACACCCCACCTCCCCTTGTTGGTCCTTATTGCAGTTGTGTGGGTCAGTATTAACATCAGATAGCCTGATCAAGGACAGGATTTGAACTGAGGACTACCTAGCTTCAGATACTGAGCTCTTTCTACTACTGCACAATGCTGCTTTCTGAAAGCAGGGTCAGTGGGTGATCCCAGAGATGCCACAGGGAGGGAAGCTGAAGCAAAGACCACAGGGCTGCTTGAGTGTCCTCCCAACATGATGTCTCTGGTGCAAATCAACCAAGAGAGAATAATGAGGAAACTGTCATGCCTCCAGTGGTCTAGACTTGGAAGGTATGCACCATCACTCTGAGGTTCTCACATACTGGTCACTAGAAGCAGCCTACACTCAAGGGGTGGAGAAGTTGGCTTCACTTCTTGAAGACGTGGAATCAAGTAATTCATGGACATATTTGAAGACCCATATACACCCTAACTTACTTTTCTCTTGCAAAATTTTGATTTTAATTAGTTGGGATGCATGTATGTACCATTTTTGCTTTTGTTGTTATAAGGGGTTAAAAAAAAAAAAGTAATTGGTGGGGTTTGGCAGTTCTCTCTCTTGCTTTGATTTCCTGAGAACGAGCATTCAGCACCAGTGGCCCTTGCCATGGGTGTCATTGTGACCTCTCGTCCTCCCAGGCATCCAGCCTTCCGTCTTTGCTTTCCCATGTGCCACACTCATCACTGTGACGTTGGCCTTCATCATGTATGTGACCCTGAGAAATGCCACTCAACACAAGGACATGGTGGAGGTGGGTGCTCAGGAAGATGGAGGCTGGACTTTGGACCCAGACTAGTGAGAAGGTGGGCTGTGGAGAGGGTATTGGGAGTAGGCTAGGAGGACTAAGGTGAGTTTTGTTGTCAGAGCAAGACACTGGGATTGGGGGAGATGTGTCCAAGAAGTATCCACAGATCAGGCAAAATTGTTGTGTTGGCTTGTTCCCCTCTGACTTCCCTCCTTCTGTGCTTGCCTCTTCCCTGGTGGTTGTGTCTATGATTAATTAAGGAAGCAGGAAGTTGATAGAAACAGAGGGAGCAGAAAGACAAAGACATAGAGAAGCTCTGTGCAATGCCACAAAGGCATTTCTTTGCCCTCAGCCCCCAGGCAGCTGAGCTCGTAAGGCCACCTGATGGGGCTCCTGGTGGGGGTGGTGATTGACCCATGGGGTTTTGTTTACCATAGGTGGCTGATTTTGACTTTTCCCCCATGTCTGACAAGAACCCAGAGCCACCCTCTGGGACAAGATGCTGCTGCCAGGTGTGCTGTGGGCCTTTCTTGCTGGAGACCCCAGCTGAGTATCTGGAAATCGTCCGCGAGAACCACGGACTCCTTCCGCCCCTCTACAAGTCTGTGAAAACGTACACAGTATGAGCTCTCTCCTTCCATCCCATCTCAGTGTTGACTGCTGACTCGGAGCTTCTGGAAGGGTGTTGCACACCAGTGAGCAGGAAAGTTTCATGTGTAGGATACTTGTCCCAGCTGTCTGTGTATCCATTCATCTGTACAACCTAGCCGCTTCCACAAGCCTCTCACAACCACCTGCCTTCCTCCTCTGAAGAGGTCTCAGGCAGAGCGCAAGATACTTGACATGGTCCTCGTTCTCTCCCAGGTATACATTAGATGCCCCTTACCCCTTCTTCTAGGATTAGCGCATCTGCCGTCCAACTGAGATTCACCCTTCCCTCCCCCAGGGTGCACTGCCTATGCTGGATACTGGGAGGAGTTTAGAAGGTCACAGACTGTTAGAGATATAGTTACAGATCATACACACACACACATGCATGCATGCACACAGACATACATGCACATGTGTTACGCAGCTATCTCTGACTTGTCACTGTCCTGATTTGTCCCTGTGTCCCTTAAGTAGTTGCTGGAAAGCACCCTGAATAGGAACAAAAATGAAGTCTGACCTGCTCCACTCGGCCCCAGAAGCTCCCAGGCCTGGTCCCTTCTTTCCCTGCACTGTCTCTGTGGCTACGTGCTTTCATTCCAAGGTAGTTTCCCCTCCCCGCACCTTGCCTACTTACCAGTGGTTGGGTAGAGATATGACTGTCACTTGTGAGAGCAGAGTGCTATGTAAATATCACCTTCTCCCGCAACCCATGAATTCAACTTGAACTGATGGAATAGCCTTGCAACTAAAGGAGCTAGCCTTGGAGCGTGGACTCGGAGTCCCTGGAGGTAGATGGTACTCCTCCTGCCCAACTGCTCTGAGAAGGATGAAGCAGGACTGGACAGAGAAGGCTGGGGAGCAACCCCTTCTTCTCACCTCTGGTCTGGGGTCTGGGGAAGGCAGTGCATATGGGGAAGGAGATATGGGGGGCAGAAAGGGAGATGGGGAAGGTCCAGCTCCAAGCATTGGGGATGGAGGACTGTATCACAGCATCCTGCGGGAAACGACCTTCACACTGTTTATACCACACATTCTCACGAATCCCTACCATTGTTGCTGAATAAAACTTGTGTGCACTGAATATAGTCAAGCCTGAGGGTGTGGCGGAGTCTCTTTCTTATACACCTGTTTTGGATCTTGCAAGTGACAAGAGCGGCTGTTGGACACATGAATCAGGACTTTATTTTCCTTTAGGGTTGAATAGTATCCACTGTGGGTCTGCAGCCCATTTTGTTTATCCATTTGTCATGATGTACATTCCACCTTTTGGCTCTTGTGAACATTGGGGTGCAGGATTCTCACCCCACTTTTCATGAGTGGAGTCATCCCTGGACTGGAAGCATGGTTATCACGGGGGACGCAGGTTGCTGCACGGCCCAGCTGTCACCCCAGGAAGTCAGCAGGGGAAAAAGCGTCATGCCTTGGACTTCCGGCTATAGAATCAAATGAAACCTTGGAGAAAGGTGGAGTGTTCTTTTTCATCCTATTTAAGATGTTTATTTGGCAGTTGTTGTTGAGAATGTGCACAGCCAAGCATACATCAATTCAGCAGTTTCTACATGTATATTTCAGTGACATTGGTTACATTCTATGACTTGGGCAATCATTTTCACCCTTTTTCCTAATCTAATCTTTCCAGTGGAGTCCTGGTGTGGCACTGTGGGTTCAGGTACTAGACTGAAAAGTTGGTTTGAACTGCAAGGTCCGTGGTTCAATCTTACCAGCTGCTCCTTGGAAATCCTACACAAGGTCACTGGCAATGGGTTGCAACAGACTCAATGGCACTTAACAACAACAATCTTTCTAGTTGCTATTGTCAATTTGATCCCACATCCTAACCACTGCCAGGGAGTTGATTCCAACCCAAAGTTACCCTGAAGGCAACGTAGAACTGCTCCATAGGGTTTCAAAGACTGTAAATCTTTGTGGGCGCAGACAACCCTATCTTTCTCTCGTGGAGCGGTTGGTGGGTTTGAACTGCGTATCTTGTAGTTAGTCATCCAGTACTGTGCTACAGTTCAGTTTTAAAGCAGCACACTACTCAAGGCAGACATTTTAAAACGTTATTGTTGATAAGTGCTGTTGAGTTGGTTCCGAACCATAGCGACCCTGAATAGGGTTATCGAGGAGCAGCTGGTGAGCTTGAACCGCCAACCTTGCAGTTCAAACGGACTTTACAGTTCAGC